ATATTGTAAGGGCAATACTTATCTGTCTATCAATCTAAAAACACATTTGTGATATTGCGTAGGCGGAAATGTGAATGTGAAGGGTTGTCATATAATATGTACCGACACAAGACAAAGGATGGACGTTTGGGTGGATGCATAGCAGGTGGATGATTGTGAAGGTTCAGAAATTTTAGACAAATAATGTTAACACTGCATTTCCTACTGGTTCATGGAATAGCTGCTGCTCTTAATTTGCAAACATTACAAATTAAATTGTAGCACTGCTTTGAAAAGAAATTGAGAAAATGCACACATAAACAAAGCATATCTCATAGTGCAGAGGATTCAGTTTATTGAAGTCAAAGTTTAACAACTTAGGTTTACAATCTGTATTTTTTGTAATATATATTCATATATATGAAACCAAAAAAGGCTACTTTAGGAAGAATAAATGTCATTTTCTTTCTTTTTTTAATATCATCTTTAGTCAGTTTAATGTACAGAATAACAGTAAGCTAATATTATCCTTGAAAAAGAGCAATATGTTCCTTTTTTAATGTCGCAGTGCAACTTACATCTTACACACCTGTGCAATGTACCATGAGGTGTACACCCCTGAAAGAACACACAGTGGAATCTCCCTTTTCGGCCTGTTTCTGCAGGTCTACACACACAAAGATCTGGGAGGGAATAACACAGTCAGTGCCTACAAATTAAAACTCTCAGAACTCCTTTTGAATCTACAGTATGTCGCCTGCTCAGCGGAGCAGCAGTTGGAGAAAGAAGACCAACACTAAAGATGAGAAACGGAGAGAGGTCTGCAGACTAAAACTGTATTGTAACTCTTCTACAGCTGCGTGTGTGTGTGTGTCTGTGTGTGTGGTGTGTGTGTGTGTGTGTGTGTGTGTGTGTGTGTAGGAACACCAGTATAACCAGTCCTTTCGTTGCCAAAAGAGAGGGTTTGGGAGGCACAGGGAAAGTGCTTGCATCATTTAGTTTCTTTGTGGTACTCTCAAATTAACCAGTCAAAAAAACAAACATGAGCTATATCTCTGGGGTGCATTTTGATATTTCAACTACAGTGTGATGGAAAAAACTGAACCTACACGAGAACTACAGTAAAATATGAAGAATAAGTACAGGTAGTGCTGGATGCAGCAGGTGCTACGCATGTCTCTCAGAGTCTTGGACACTGGGGGGCACCGTTGAGTCCTTGGCCTGATATTGCAGATGAAATGATTCATCCGAGTTTCACAGACATTAAGAGACCCTTTAGTGGAGAGGTCTACCACCGCCCAGCATCCACCATATGCTTTGAGGGAATGTTAAACCAGCTTTCAGTTTCAAAAGCATCTCTCATTTACGGTTTCTGAATCCTCCGTGTCAGTCTTTCTGAACCAAAAACACCAAATTGAAACCTCCTGTTGGGATGCTAAAGGAGGATCTGCATTACTTTAAGGAACTGAGTAGCAAAAACAAAAGCCTCCCTCAGTTGTTGTACAGTGTGTGTCTTCGAACACTAATGCCAAACAAAAGAAAAGAACAGAAGACTTTTATGAACATAGAAATAAAAAGTCATTCTTCAACAGTACTTTTGCATGTATCATGCGCTACAAGTCTAATTATCTTGCAATCATGAGAAGAGGGTAAAAAAACAAACAGAAAGAAAAAAAAGAGAACACAAATGATCCACAGTATTTTACCCTGTCCATTCAAATCAGTCCCAGGCCTTTTCTCATGCAACACATCACCAGGAGAAGAATCAGCCGCGATGTAAACCAGTAATCAATCACCCGTCAGTGATGGTGGTGGTGGTGGTTGTGGTCGTTTTGCCTCCTAGTTGTTCAAAACTGCTAAACACCCTGCGTCTACAGAGTGAAGAGGGGGACACTGCAAAAACCTTGGCATAGAATACATCATACTTTACATTATATCTATGACACAAAACGTAAATAGATTTATATATTCTTCTATGTTTAAATATATTTGTAGACTGTACACAAATCTTTAGAAAATGAGACGGCAAATGCTTTTTACCTGATATTTGAACAGCGATGGTAAAGTAGGCCGATGAGACATAGACCCTGTGATGCAGCCAATGAGATATAGAGATATAGAAAGTGCATTCTTTGTAGTGAGTGACTCCTTTTTGGAAAAGAACTCTCTAGCTCTTGCATTCGCTGTTTAAGGAAATAAAAGGGAAAAAATAAAAAAGAAAAATAAAAAATAGTTTTGCACCCACACAAATACATACTCTCTGTCTTCCCTCCGCTACCTCTAGAAGCATATCACAGTGGTAGTGGAACGCAAACATTTACATCAGTATACACAGCAGTATACACATATACACAAGTCTTTGAGGACTAGAGAGAGAGAGAGAGAGAGAGAGAAGGGAAATAAAAATTAAGAGAAGATGAAGAGAGGAATGCGATAACACAATCTATCAGAGGAGCCTCCTTCTGCGGATAAAACTGGGGAACGCTTTCACAGTTTGAAATAGTGCGCCGGCACGGTGGCTTCTCGATGCTTTCATGGGTTCCCAGAGAAACGGATAAACCGGCATCGACCTCTCACAGTCTTACTCCCCTCCCCTTACCCTCCCCACACACCTGTCCCCCGTGAGATCAGCCTGGAATAACAGTGAGGTCCCTGTAAATCAAGATATGCAATGAGAGAAGAAAAAAAAAAACACAGAGAGAAAGGGGGAGAACTGGTGGCTCTGGGTGCAAAGTTCATCAGTACAAAAAAGTACAGTGCTGTGGTGAAAAGGATTCTCCTCTGTATTGCTGCTACATAGCTCCCCCTGCCCCCTAAAATCAAATAGCAAAACCGAGAGAATACAAAGGAACGAACGTGTTTTAAAAAGTCTCCTTTTTTTTCCCCACCCCCGCCCCCTCCTCGTTTTTTCTCGACAAGCGTGTGGAGTTTATGCTGAGTTCCATAGACAAAGGAAGATTAATGCTTTCTGTTCAGGCATGCAATAGGCACCCTGTGGGGTCCTCAGGATTATCAAAAGTTCATACACGCAGGTCTCAGACTGTTCCCTCTATGATATTTACACATCTTACAATGTGTGTTCCTGTGTGTGTGTGTGTGTGTGTAAGTGTGTGTTGGTGCGTGCTCAGAGTCGTGATCAGGAGAGAGGAGGGCTAATGTAAGGTGTGTGTTTGTGAGCGTGTGTGTGTGTGTGTGTGTGTGTGTGTTCAGTCTCTGCTGTCGCGGCTCGTTCTCACACGTGTGTCTCGATGAAGGAGTGTGTGTGGGTCATGAGCGGCGCCGCCAGCGGGGAGAGGTCGTCCTGGCCGTTGGTGCCCGGGCTGAGCTGGCAGATGTCTGAGTAGAGCTCGCTGTGCCACTGCTTCCACTCTCTGAAGGTCTGGGAGCACAAGCCAGGGTCCTCCAGGAGAGCACAGATCACCGCCAGCTCCGACTCTTTGGCCTGCAAAACAGACACCGGGGAGTCACCGCTTGAAAGCCTTCTGAAATAATGATGTGCTTTATTTCTGTATTACCTTTATTATTTATTTATTTAACCTGTATTTGAGAACTGGTTCTCATTTTCAATATCGACCTGGTCAAGAGACGGCATACAGACAAGATGAACAACAGAAACAGATTACACGTACAGCAGATCACACAGTGTTACAGAAACAGATCACACAAAGACTTGTGACACAGAGAGGTTCCTTTAAAAGTCTTTTAACTAAAACAGAACTTTTAACATTCAGAGGATGTTTAAAGGATGTTGTCAGGTTGTCCAGCCATCCATCACATTCACACCTACGGACAATTTAGAATCACCAATTAACCTCAACATGTTTTTGGACTGTGTGGGAGGAAGCCAGAGAACCCGGAGAGAACCCACGCTGCACGGGGAGAACATGCAAACTCCACGCAGGAAGATCCCGGGTGTCCTCACCGGGACACGACCCGGCAACCTTCTTGCTACGAGGCAGCGGTGCTAACCACCGAGCCAAATCGCAGCTTGTTGTCAGGTTATGTTGCATGACAACAAAAAAGGAACATTCAAAAAATGTTTTCTAGAGATTATCCAGGCCTCAGGACACAGGATGTGTTTTCCTGTATTTTGCTATATCGGCAACACTTTGGAACATTTTGCCTGAAATGTTCTGAGGATGTTGTGGGAATGTTGCTGTTGAGCACAAACGTTCTTGAAGCAACATTTGGAAAATGTTTTAAGAACACTTGTAAAGTGTCTTTAGGTAACTTTATCCTGTCTTTAAGAAGAAGATTCTTGGAACTAAAAGAAAACTTCCCTCTAAAAACATAACTGCAACGTTCTTAGAATGTAACAAACAAAACATTCAAGCTGGGATGGTGAGGCTGAGTAAAAACAGAGGCTAAAAACAGGTGCAGTGGTCCTGAAGTGTTACTCGAGCTGATTTTTTTTTTTAAACGACGTGAGCGGTACGTATGAGGTGAGTTTTAGGGATTATTCTAGTCATTAACGGCAGAAAACTGGAACAAGGATCGATCGAGAGAGGCACTCTCTGGACTTTGGGAATGGGAAGGATAATGAGACGTAGGAGTTTCTACTGGAGTTACAAAGTTCTTCACAAAGCATTAAAATACACAAAACATTAGATAAAACAGTCAAATAAATCAAACATGGGTTAAAAAAAACACTTAAAAAGACCGATAACCAAGCATCAGAGTAGGAATAAGAAGTTCTATGAATGTTAGTCTGTACAGGTGGATCTTTAACAGCTTTTTAAACTAAGAAACTGACTGAGATCTTCTAGTCCATTCAGTTTTATGTATACAGCACCAATTCACAACATATGTCATCTCACAGCTCTTACGAATTTTAAACAGAGAATACAACAAGCTAAAGTTCTCTTTGGATTCCTTATGAGTAAGAAATCGACAACAGTGGGAAGGAACCAAAAAAAAAAAAAACCTCAGACAGAACCAGGCTCAGGGAAGGCGGCCATCTGCCTCGACTAGTTGGGGTCAGTCATCTTGTTCCACAGTGTCGGGGCTAAAACAGTGAAAGCACCTTAGTTTTCATCCTGGACCGTGGGCTGTTTAGCAGTAGCTGGGTTTCAGATCTCAGGGGTCGAGGTGCAGAATATGGAGTTAAAAGATGTCTTATGTAGAGAAGTCTTCATGTGTGACGTACCTTCAGTGTGCTGCGCAGGGCTCGGACCCGGTGCAGCCTGTCGTTCAGCAGGGGGTCCCTGGCTCTCTGGGTGAAGCAGCGTCGAAGCTCCTGCCTGCTACAGGGTCTGGGGTCTCCCAGCGCCGTCACGTTGGCCTGCTCCAGGGCCCGGTACAGCTGCTCGAGCCCGTCCAGCGGCTCCGGCTCTCGGCCCTCCGATATCCGCCGCTCCCTTCCCTCCGACACCCTCCTCTCTCTGCTCTCGACTCTCAACTCCCGCAGGTCTGAGAGAAGCAGGAGGCGACCAGTGAGAGTCGGACAGTGATGGTGTTTTTAATTCTAACAGAGCAGGTGTGGCATTTGCAGACGGCATTTGGAAACACTATTATTTAAGTTATTAAGGTGGTGTGTATGACCAATGTAAGCTTCTGAATCCAAAAAGCACCATCATGCAAAAATGACACCATTTATCAGAGCTAGAAACGGTAAAAACAGAAAGAATCAACACATTTTCAACTTCCTGAAGGATCTTAAACTACTTATCTGTGCCATGTGGGTCCTTTGGAAAATAAATATAAACTTAAAATCTGAATATTTCATTAAAAATACTTCACCCTACATGTCTCAGTTAAACACTGGTAAAAATGACGTGTTTGCTATTATCAGATTCTGCAAAAAAAAATACAATTTCTGCACTTTTCTGTACAACTGAGAAGCCATTAGTGACTTAAACTGGGCTGAACTGCAGGCTGTGTCTATACAGAGCAGATATGTAGAGAAGGAAAAAAAACAAACATCTGGTGGCACTTGGAGGAATGTACATGTTGATTAAAGTTGTTTACATCTGTACAGATATAGTCTGAATACAAATAAATCAGTAATAAAACCTATTGTTCCGCATTTCTTTCTTTATTTATCAGTATTTTCAATTAATTAATTTCAAGCTGATTTATGTATAGAAGTCTGGCTTTACATGAAAACTGAATGAAGCTTTAACAAAAAACAGAGATCACAGATTGTCTGTATGATAAGCTGTCATCATCACATAACAACTAGTGCACAAACTCATATGTGCACCAGATGCTGTCAGTCTTAAAGGCTGACTTCCAACTCTGGCCCTGCTACAGTTCAGATCAAATGAGCCTAATGTTTGTTACCTATCAAGATTATAGACTGTGTAAGTGTGATCTATGAGCGTAGAGATGTGCTTCTAGTGAGGAACGATGGTGGGTTGGAAGGAAGCTGCTCCTTCTTTGTATGAGAAGGAACCAAGCTGGGTAGATGTTCTGGCATTGTGGTACATGGTGATGTAGATAAGTGATAGAAGAAAAGTGTCAAACAAGGTGTTTCAGACGGAGAAGGAGCTCTCTTTAATGTGGCATTTGTAAGTTTGTTGACCTTTTGACCCGCACTAAAGTAAAAACTTAAGACAGCAGAGTGTGGACTCTGCAAATAAACTGATTTATCTCTGATTTCCTCTTGCCTGTGTGTCATGTTCTTACCCTCCTCACCCTCGAGCATGTCTGCAGCCTGGCCCTCCGCCTCCTCGTCTTCACTCCTCTCCTCCATATGGGCCGAGGTGTGCAGCAGCTTCCCCGGCATCGGGTCTCTGTTCCTGGGCAGGCTCTGGCTCCGCTGCTTGTGGGAGCGTCGGTGTGTGTGGCTGTGCGTGTGCGGCCCTCTCTCCAGAGGGAAGGGCCCGTCTCGGTCCCGGTCCCTCTCGGCGGCGTGGTGTCTCCGTACGGGCAGCGTGGCCTGCCTGCGTCTCTCCGGGGACATGCCCTGCCTGCCCAGCCCTCCGTAGAAGCCCATCTCTCCGGCCATGCTCCCCATTAGGCCGCCGTAATCGCTCTCCCCCGGCGCCGTCTGGAGGAAGTGCAGCCCGGCGCTGGTCAGAGGGGTCTCGATGAGGTCCTGCCAGGAGCGGCGCTCGCGATGGGAGGAGCGGCAGCCGGACGAGTGGGTGCTGGTGCTGCCCGTGCCCGTGCCCATGCCCATGCCATCCCCACGCTGGTCCTCGGCCGAGGAGTGGGAGTGCGTGGACTCGCTGGAGAAATGTCGACCGTGCTTTGGCTCCGGGAAGGGGCTGGAGGAGTTAACCTGGGGAGGGAGAGGGGAGGTGGAAGAGACCATCTGTGGAGGAATGGGGGAGGTGGAGGCACTCATCGGTGGAGGGAGCGGGGACGGAGTGGAGCGCATGAGGCTCATGGAGCTCACTGAGCGGGGCAACTGGTCGTAGCTGTGGAGGAGGTTGGCCTGAGTGGAGGCGAGGGTTGGTCGGGATGGAGAGGCGAGAGCAACAAGCGGAGGTAACGGTGGACAGAGAGGTGAGATGTGAGCACAGGTACAAGAAAAAAAGTGGTGGTGGAGGTGGAGGAGGAGGAGGAGGTGGTGGTGTGCAAGGATGGAGGAGAGGAAAGAAGGGCAGAAAGAGACCAAAAGATGAGAGCAAAGAAGCAATGAGATGGCAGAGGAGCAACTCCAGGAATGACTGACATGACTGCTGTATGGCTCAGCATCCCAGCTAGCAGGGAACGTTCCCACAACGCTGGCTAACATTACCTCTAGGAATATAACAAGCTTAATCTAATGCTCAGGGAACGTTTTAAGGATATTTGTCATTTCAAAAGTGAACTAAGACAGAACGTTTTAAAATTCAGAAGATGTTTTGAAGGTTTTGAAACATGATAGCAAAAAAAATCTTCTCAAATCAACATTTAAAAAATGTTTTCCAGATGTTATCAAGGCTTCAGAGGATAGACT